CAACGATGGGCCGAAGGGGAAGGATGCAGGGGTACCCTTGGGGAACTTGCCCCCCCTTGGCATGCGGGCTGACGGCATCCCAAGACCCCTTTGCCTCGGGCCTCGGGACCCCCACCGCCTCCGTGGCGATCGATCCTCGACATCGGCGGCCGAGGACGCGGGAAGACACTCAGACATCCGATCAGATTATCGGTCACTGGACCAGTCCGTGGGGAAACTCAAAGGACAGGTACCGATACCGCTCCTCCCCATACCTCTCCAGGGGTGCGCTCGGACCAAAATCTTGAGGCGAATCCAGCGGTGGCGACGAGGCCTTCCCAGGAGGCCCAAAAAAGGGGAAAGCGAGGGAAGGGTAGCGACATGTAGAAGCAGGAAACGCGCCATAAACACAAACTCGTGGCGCTCCGCGCGGAGTTCTTGGATCCGCGCCGGACCCCCGATCCAAGAAATCCGCGCGGAGGGCCAAAAGCTTCTGCTTCTGGCGTGCTTTCTTCTTCGAATGTGGCCTCTGCGTCCAGGGGTCGCTGTCTTCTATTAGAATATTCCTCTTTCTGTTCTGCCGTATGGATCAAAAACAAAAGCGAGTAGACTAAGAGCTTTTTTGTTTGAAGAACCTGAGCTCATGAAACAGCAAAAACTCCCCCAGAACAAATCTTGTGCGCAAACCTCTCTCATGTGGTCCGTCCTGACTCGTTTTTTCGAGGCGGGTCTGGCCGTGGCGACGAAGAAGGCCGCCAGCGGGCCCCTCGGGGATATTCCGATCCGGGTCAATCCAGACCCGGGTCAGGCGGGCCTAGGCAGGATGGGCCCTGCAGGATCCGGCAAGCTCCTGCAGGGATCCTACAGGGATCCTGCACCCAAACCTGGGCCGGTGCAGCCCTGGCTCTGCAGGATCCTGCAAGATCCTGCGCGCTGACCCCGTTTGCCCTGACCCCCGTCTCTGCAGCTCCGAGCCCAGAGAGGACGCAGCACACCGGGCGAGGGCCGCCATCGGCTCGACGGGACCCCGTTCCGGCCGATCGGCGGGCCCGCGCGCTCTCACGCCACGGCGGCAGCGCTGTGGCGCTGCGGCCAGTGCAGTGCCGGCTTCTTGCCCTGTTCGGGCGGGCGGTACAGGTGTCGGAAACAATTAAGCCACACTCATGCAGAACATGTGGTTTGAACCTCCCCCCCCCCCCTCCCCCCCAAATGCAGTGTTGGTTCCGGATCTTCCGATTCTGGGCCTCCGAGCGGTCTTGCGAAAAGCCGCCAACTCTGAATTGCGGGGGCGGGGGGGGAGTGCTGCTTCAAATTGTTTCCCTCGACCGCAGTGGGGGGCGGCCCGAAGGGGGGGGCGAAGGAAGCAGGCCCGGGGGCCCCCGCCGGGCTCCCCAAAAGAAGGCCCGCGGGGGCCCCGTGTGTCAAGGGGCCCTGGGACACACAAAGAAGCACGCACAAATGAAAAAGGCCCCACGCACGCTCCCATATATCTCCTCTAGGCTCTCTTGTCTGCCCCCCCTCAAATCCCCATCTCTTCCCAGATATCTTCCTGGGGAAGCGGCGTTGCACATTGTGTCTGTGTGTGTGCTCTTTCCCCTCCTGAGCGTGGGCCCTGCCTCTGCCCCCCCCCCCCCCCGGTGTGTGTCAGGAGGGGAAAAAACACACAGACACAATTAATCGTCGATTCCCAGGAAAATATGAGGAAATATGGGAAGGGGGGGAAGACAAAAATCCCGAAAATATAGGGAAATATGGGGAATATGTTTATTTGTGTGTATTTATTTGTGTGTCCTGGGGCCCCTTCAGTGTGGGCCGCCTCCCACTGTGGCCGGCCCGCCGGGCCTGCCCCGCGCGCAGCCAGCCCGGCACCGCGAGCACGAGGCACACGTGGCCCGCCAGGAGCACCGCGAAGGCCAGGACCGTGCGCTCGTGGCCGAGAGCCTCCACGGGGCAGCGCTCGGACGTCCATTTTTCCTGTGTTTTTTGTTTTTCGGTTTCGCGCGTGTGCTTTTTTCGCCGGATGGTCGAGGATGCTTGAAGGGGGACCGGGGCACACAAATAAATACACACAAATAAAAGTATCCCCCATATTTTCCCATATTTTCTGGGTTTTTGTCTTCCACCCCACTTCCCATATTTTCCCATATTTTCTGGGAATCGCCGATTAATTGTGTCTGTGTGTTTTCTCCCCTCCTGAGTTTTTTTTCGCCGGATGGTCGAGGATGCTCTCCTCGAAGGTCCTCGCCGAAGGAAAAATGCACACGTCCGAGCGATGCCAAAAGCCGGGAGGCGGCGCGGAGGCGGGGCGCCGCGGGCCGGCGGGGCGGGAGGGCTCGAGCGGGTCTTCATCACCGTCGGGGCGTCAACCTGAGGAAGCCTAAATGAGGAGCGAGGCCCCTTTTCTCCAGAAGTTCCATTTCGACTTCCCGTCGAAAAGACGAGGAGAACCTGGGGCAAAAGGTGAAGCCATGAAGGAACACGGAGCCCCTCCCCAACGAAAAGGGTTCCTTATTCAGAGCCC